CTTAATTCATTGATGTTTTGTAAAACCTGATTTTGCGTAGCAGAAAAACTAAAACAAAAAATACAAAGTTCCCCCACATTTTCAATGGTCGGAACAATAGAATGCTGATTCAATCAACTTTTCCAGTGTTTCAAGTTTCTTCGTAGACGCTACAGGGCAATCGCAACATTTAGATTTCGCCTTCTAGAATCAATTTTGTTATAACTTGAAACTTTGGATGAACTGCTTCGAATTTTTATTTTGACTGATGTGAATCTCTTGAATTGGCCTACTTTTTCTGGCTGAATTATCTATGCTTCCTATTATCTGAAGGCAGAAGAATATATCCTTGTGTGTTTATCATGGCTTGTAGAGGTGATGGGATTTGAGAAAAAAGTTATTTCGAAAATTAATTCATATACTTCAATATGCAGGCAGAATATTCAGAGCTTTGGCCTTGTTGCCGGTACTATTTTTTCCCCTTTTTAATGTTATATCATATTATTTGAGATCTTTCTGCACCTTTGTACAGTAAATCTCCGAATGGCAATTTGGATTTTTCATAAATCACAAAAAGTTTCGAAACTTTTGTATAATTTACACTTTTCTAGAGCAGCCTGAAATTGTTTTTTGATAATTCACAATTAACATCGAGTTTTACTGAGTTTTTTTCAGAAAATTTAAAGCTATTTATATCTGATCCTCTACTCATAAAAAAATTCAAAGCTTTCAATATCAAAAATTTCATAATTATAAATGTTCTCAAAACTTTGATGCGATGGATGATCAGCAGTTAGGTTCTGTTCTAGTTTCGAGTTTTGCAGGATCTATGTATCCTCTATTCTATCTATTCGAGCGCCACAGCGTCGAACTGGAATTGTCCCAGACCGGGTCCGCATCTCTTGGCCCTAGTCAGTAAGTCTCCCAACTCCTTGATAGCATCGACCTAAAATGAATAACATAAGCCACTGGCTATTGTAATATCACATAGCAACATCGCTTTTTTGTAGGTAGTGCTTTATTGCTTTACAGGTTTTTTTTGTAACAATGTTTGAACTAACTTGTTCTTTGAGGAACTCTCCTTCGATAAAATCTGTGAACTGGGGGTCTCCGTTCTTCTCAGCCAGACCATGTAGGTCAAGAAGCGACTGGTTGACGTCTCGCTCCAGCTGAAGCGCCACTGCAAGCATGTCTACTGCACTCCCGTACTCACTAGCCTAGAGAGAGAATTCTCATAACTTTTGTAGCCAAAACCGATTTTATTTTAGTCCACGATAGTTCTAACTTAGTAAATTGTCGTCATAAAAATAAATCATTATCAAAGTGTCTGATACTTTTTCGACATAAATTCAAATGCAGTAATTCGTGGTCAATGTTATCTCACAAATTGAATGCACACTTACTTCTGGTTTCTTGATGTCCTGCAGGACAATTCTGCCACCTCTCTTGTTCTGATATTTCATCAGTTTCTCCGCATGTTCGCGCTCCTCCTCCGAACTCTTCAGGAAGAACTAAAATGAACCATCTTAATTATTAATGGGCAATCGCCCCTGAAGGATTTCACTAAGCCATAAAAGAAAAATCAGATATGACTTTCTCCCCTTTCTACAATGTCCTCCCCCATCAAAACACAGACCTTTCAATGCAATATTTTAAAACCATAGACGCATGTGAACTTTTGATGTACAAAATCGCAATCACCCATTGTAAAGGTTTCAAACTTCAGTCAGAAGAAGTTGAATGCGCGGTTCAGAATAGAAAATTTTTCATATAAAATAGCGATCACGTCAAAGAAATAAATCGTTCTCAGACAGGTATCTCAATTTTTCAGGAAGACGTGATTGATGTGGTGACATTGCATGAATCCATGTTGCATGCGTTCGAGTTGAGAGGGTATTAAGTACTTTGAAAGGTGTACTTGATAGCTCAAGTGATGCTAGAGGGGTGTTACCTTGTGTAGGTTTGGGAGGGCGACGTCGTCCCTGTCACAGTATAATGCAAGCGAGTGGTAGACGTATGAGGCTGTCAATTCCATGTTGATCTGTTTGTTCACACCTGCCTCACACTCCTCGTGGAAGTTCTGGCGACACTGCGACTTACTTGACATCTTTAGGAGTTGCTGTGATTTGATTGGTCGTCAAAAACATTCAGTCAGTGTTTAATTATATGGAAGTTGTGTTTTTTAATAGGTAAAGCAAAAATCAAAAAAAAATTGTTTCTCAGTGAAAAAAGCTCAAAAACATAAAACTATTGGTTACAAACCTCCCCCAATTGATCGATTAACTACAGTTTTGGAATAGATAACTGACGTTTTGGGTTACGTTATCAGTTCAAAAACCTGATTGGTTAATCTGATCTCGCCCCCCCCCCCCTTTAGAAAAGGGGGGAGTTTCGTTACTAGGTACAAAATTTACATATGCTAAACTATTGAATTATATTTTTATTCGTTAGGTACCCTAGAGGGGGGGGGGACAGTTAAAGAGATCCGGTTAATAATAAACGTTCATCACTGACTAAGTTTTGGATTCGATTGGCAACGTTGATGCGCGTCAAGTTTGCAGTTAGACGATATCGGTTTGCTCGAATTGAAAAGCGACTTCACGCAGCGTCGAGATTTTGAAACTGAATGGTTATGAAAGATTGTTGACAGTCTTAAGTATTTTTTGTTTACGAGCGCGTGACAAAACGTAGATCATCACAATTTTAACCTTTAAACGTGGATCATAACAAACATCATTCCAATTACCTACGCCCAGCGGAATGATTTTCATATTTGATTACATGTTTATAAGTTTACAGTTTGGGCCAAAATTGATCAAATAGGTCATACTGACAGATATTATTAATCAGAGATGGTTCTAACTCACATTTCTGAAATCAGTGATTGGCAGAAACGTGGCAATATTTATTTGTTGTTGCTTTCCGTTTCGGTCTAAGACAAATAACCTATAGTTGAATAGTTTCATCCCATCGTAAATTATATCATTTTTTACCTTATGCCAAGCTACGATCTACTCTTGTAATCTGGAAATTCTTTTTATTGCACAGTTTTGCATTCTTGTCCAAAATATTTGCAAGCTTTTGCATTGCACTTTCATTTGTAATTCACAGATCATTACATTCCACAGAATTTTTGAGCTTCAAGTTCATCGTACAATTTGTGTTAGCCTCTAAAAAAAATTATAGCAAACTCTTGAATGGATGACTGCTTAAAAACGCCTTTTTGTTCCGTTTTTCGAAGAAATTGGAATGTTTATGCTCGGTGTGATTTTTTATATTCTGTCAGTTTTCGCCGATAGAAAAAATAGTTTTCAACATATTTTTTTAAACCCCATTGAAGATATCAACTTCTTGAAATCAAATTCAAAAAGATATTTCACCTCCGATTATTTTTGTAAGTTCTTGGGGGTCTGAAAATTGCCAAATTGATCATGTTCTGGACTACATTATGCGCGCTGATTCATAATCTTGAAAGCGTAACGCGAATTGTTATAATGCCTGGCGAATCATCCCGCACACAAAAAATCGTTCCAAATTGAATTGAGGCTAGCTGATTGCTTGTATTAATTTCGTACGACTAAAAACTTTACACTTTGATTTTGTCCAAAATTTACAGATTTTCAATATTTTCTTTTCCCAAAAACCATTCAATATGAATTAAGGGACAGTTCGAACATTCATGGCTGTGCCCTGATATACGAGCAATCTTGTTGTAGTCACAATTTTTAGGTGGAATTGCATTCGAATGCTGTTAGTAAACTCAACTAAGGTATTTTTAATCAATTTTCTCAACATACGCGGCTTGACATCCATAAACCGAAAATGCTTGTCTTACAATCCATACACCAAAAATGCTTGTCATACAGTTACATATATCAATTGTATGGAAAAATACTTCTCATTGAAAAAAGATTTGAACTAGTTTTTGCGGCAATATGAACCAAATAAAACAGTCTGGTGATATCAAAAAAAATACAAAAAAAACTTCGGGTCCATTTCAAATTTACTTGGAAAAAGTTTTATTGTCGCCATGAAAAAAATGCTAGTCTTACAATTTTCATGTATGGAAATTGTATGACAAGTAAATTTGAAATGGATCCGAAGTTTTTTTCGTTTTTTTTTTCAACAGTGAATCGAATTTTGTACTCAACCAAACCTTTTTCTAAAAAAATTTTGTATGCAATTTTTAATTTTTTGTCTGCATAACGTAGTCCTGGATACACAAAAATTGGATTTTTCTTCCTTTTTTCTGGATACAATTTTTCAAACAGGCTAAAAAGTCCTATTTTTTGTAGGACATTTTTGTATACACCCTAATCAATGTCTGATATTTTGAAAATTCTAATTTTTGCCGAAATATACAAGTTTGATGCTTTGAGTATACGATCTGTGGAAAGAGATCTTACACAATTCACTTCGTTTCCAATGCATTCAGTAAACCATGGTCACGAACAGATCCCAAAAATTTTGTGAACAGTTTTTTTTAAATCAACTTTTTGGTTTATGAAAAAATTTTTGTCTAACAATTTCCAAAAAAAATTCTTATCTTAGAGTTTTCTTAACCTTTTTTTTCTGTATCTATGGAATTGTTCGAAATTGTATGATAAGCTTTTTTTTATATGAACATTGTAGGATAAGCATTTTTGGTCAACCCGGGTAAATTATAATTTTTCTTTTACACTAAGGTATACTCAAGGTTATTTCCTGAAAAATCCATATTTTCTCCCCCTAAATCAATTTGGGGGGGGGGGGGGGGATGGAACTGTTTGCCTAACGTATTCAGAAATTGAACGACTTCGTTCCGACTTTTGAAGAAAATAAGGATCATTTTTTCCAGGGGTGGTTCTTTAATCAGACCAATTTTAAAAAAAGCTTAATGCGAATGGTAATCGATCCGGAAAACTTGTTATTGGCAAGCGAGTTTGCTTGCACTTGACTAAAGTGGGGCATTGCTGCTGGCATAATACTTTGATGGTTTGTTTGAATACGCAAATTATTTATGCAATTTATCCGCACTCATAATCGATCCAAACTGAATTGAGGCAAATTAATTGATCTTAAGAATTCCATAAACGACTAAAATTTTAACGCTTTGACAATATCAGCCTGAACTTTTTAGTTTGTCAGTATTTCATGTGGCAAAAACGATTTCAGACCATTTAATGGGCAGTCGGAACATTCAGGGATTAGCCCGAGTATCGAAAGCTAATTTTCAAAATCAGATGTGGGCGTAATTGAGTATTTTTTTGCCATTAGAAACAACTAAGTTTTAATTTGCAAAAAATATACCCGAGATGACTATACTTTTGATATCGTAATTATCTCTTTTTCATTTTTTCTAACTTGCTTATAACTTATAATTTACGCGTTTGATATACAATGACGAATACAAAAACTCAAATAACCCTTTGCTCAATTGAAAAATTGGTTGAAATGAATAGTTTTTTCTTATTTTTTCTCATTTTTTCTCCGTTACATTTTGTTCATTATGCAATTTTTTGAAGTTTCTACCATAAAACATCAGCACAATTTTTCAGTTCGAATCAGTATTTTTCACTTGCCACATAAATCTTTCAAGCAAAATTAAGGGATTTGTTTGAAACTTCTGTTTCGATGTAAAATTCTGTGTTCAGAGGAACCAAAAGGTTGCAAAACATCTCACGTTCAAAAGATTGTCAGCAAAACTATCCATTTTAAAACAAATTTGTTTTGTGAGAACTTATTGGCAAATTGAGAGATTATAATTTATTAGAACTAATAATGAAAAATTATCTACAAAAATTTGAATAGCTGATAACTGATTATAATCAATTTCATTTTTTTTGAAACATTTTGTAGGGATGAGGGATTATAAATTGCTTAAACTTTACAAATTAGGCTGGTATGATTACTTATGAGATTTATGTAACTTAATTGATTATTTTTTCCTTTTTTAATTTAATCAACTGTATTCTCTCTTTTTTGAGTGAGCGAACTCACTCTATCAGAGTTTCAGGGTAAACAATTTCCAAAAACTTTGAAATGTCAAGATTTGTAAACTTTATTTTTTGTTTCACGAAATTATTTTTTTCTGTTCAACCACTTCTTCAAACAACAAACAAAACAATCAAGCTACTTTTTTCAAAACTATGTTCTGCATCTTTGTTTAGATAATCAGCCAGAGACCTTACTCGAAAGGTTAAATATTTAAGTTTAACTAATATATGGCTTTCTTACAAGAGGTCACCTTGTAAATTGCAACGCGCGTGCGATTTGAACCCGCAATCATATAATTTCTGGGCACCATCACTACCGATGCGCCACAACTCCACATCCAACTCCACGTTTTTTTTATTCCACGCACTGAATTTGTGGGAAAATCCTAGCGAGGTTTAGATTCATAAGCTCTTAAAAGTCACTTAATTGCAAAAGTTCCTTTGAAAAAATAGTTTGATTTTTAAAAGCCTATGATACTTTTTCTCACGAACCAAAATTTTGCTTTCATCAAAAAGTTTTCGTTTTCTTGGCAGCATACTTGTATTTTCCATATTTTTTTCCGATTCATTGATTCATTGGAAGGTGTTAATAAACTAATAACAAGCCAATGCTTATTGAGATCTAAGCAAATGTCTCTTAAGTTCTATTAAAACTAGGCTTTTTGATCCTAAGAAATTCAGGCAAAATGATCAGCAAAGTCCTCCAAAAAATAAATAGAAAAACAAAAAAAAACCAAAACCAAAAATAGTTTCAGTGTCTTTACGAAGTTTTTGTTGAGTTTTTGAAGAATTTTTCTGTTTCCACGAAGGCGCGAAAACAGACCTAAAAAATTCCTGTGCTCAGTTTTTCTTTTTGAGCAATTTTGTTCATCACGGTCTTGAGAACAAAACTGAGTCTTTGAAGAAGTGTTGATTTGTAAAGGCTTCTAGCTGAGTTTTCATACTGATTTTCATACAAATTTTTCGCTCCAGAATTTTCCCAGAAGTTCCCCCAGAAGTTATTACCCCACCAAAAGAAACTAAATTGCATGTCTGATATGCATGAGTCTTTGATCAACAAAATGACTGAAAATAATGTCATTCTTCAGGATAGGGTCAAAACTGAATCCACTCAATTTTGAAAATTAAGATGACTGGCTGGAAAAAGAGGGTTTTGATGCAAGTAAACTATTCCAGTAAAAACCGCTAATTTTTCTCACTTTTCTTTAAAACTGCAAAAGCTAACTCAATGCATTTTACACAAATCTGCGCAAGCTTACTGATCAATTCTTTAAATAAATTATTTCATCTGGAGCAAACAAATAAAGATCACAGTCGCCACAATTAAGAAGGAGCATTTGAGTTTTTTTGTATGATTTTTGTACTTTTTAATGTAGACCTTGGTTTTGAACACAGAAATTGTTCATTTTGATGCGTCCAAATGTAGTACCGAATCAATTTTATTAATTAAGCCTTTATCAAACTATGATAGTGAGCTAAGAAAAGATCGTGCAGAATTGAAAAGTGTGCATAATGAACATTACTGTATTTTTTTCCATACATAACCAAAATTGTCGAACCAGTGAATAAGTGACATTTCAGTCAAACGTGGAAGAGGAGAGAACTTTGATTGCTTAATCGTTTTTTATTCTGAAAAAAAGTTCTGCTAAAAGTTGCTGCAAACAAAGACTACAACG